AAAAAAAAAAAAAAAAAAAAAAAAACAAGGCAGAATGAATCATATGAAATGGAATAACGACATTCATACCAGCTCACTCTTACTATGTACTGCACTAAAGGAAAAACTTACTTCCCACCTCCCACTAGGGCGATCACCTGCATTTATTATACCCCGGCTGGCAAAAACTAGTACTTTGCTGCCCATGCCTGCACAATAACATCCCACTGGCTTAAAGAGATGTTGTTTCAACAGAACACATACATTCAATTCAAGTCAATAGATTATTGTTGAGGTGCAGGAAGCTCCACACTAGATTTGGCTGGCTGGGATGTAAACAATTCAAGAGGCCGCCGATGTCGGATTGAAGTAATAAAAGTAAAACAGTTTACTTGGGGTTTCTTTCATGTTCCACCAAAAATGAGGTTCAAGTATTTGTATACATTATCCAGCTCAGAAGGCAACATTGGCATACCTGTTTAACCAGGCTATCTTTCTTTCGCCAGAACCACCATCTTCCTGATTTCTTTGGCATCTTTTCTTTCATCCAGGACTCAATGGTATTCTAAAAAAAAGCAACAAAAATACATTTGTAACATTGAAAAAAATGGCACATTGATGGCAATATGTCATAGATCATATTAACATGATATTAACCTTGGGTAAGTTTTTCTGAAATACTTGCAAACTCAGGATCATAGGTGCCGCCAGTACCCAGTTGTAGTACCTGCAAAACAAAAGCTTAGTAAGGTTACCACAGCATTTATAATATTAGTAAGTATGCTCACACACACACATACACTGTAGATATGCAAACAAAAATGAAATGGACAGACAGATAATAAAAGCATATCAGAGGCTAAGGCTCCATTCACACGAGTGGTTTTCTGCACGTATTCGCGCATACGAATAAACGCGGAAACGCAGTAAACATAAAAACCAATGCATTACAATGGGCATTGTTCAGACTATTGCGGCGGCTACGCGGTACGAAACTGAACGTCCTGCAAAATAGTCCAAGCACGATATTATGTGTGGAATCCGTCCGTTCCGGCCATATTCACAGCCATAAATGCACAGTATCCACACGTATGTTACCGTTTGTACGGTTTCATTCCGCGTGGTTATCCGGAAACCGCTACTGCCATGTGTGAATGGAGCCCCATATAAGCACCAAAAAGGCTTCAAGAAATTCCATGTCAGAAGTGTTTGAAAAGATATGCATCTACTTCAGAAGCCTCCGATGGAAGCAGCTTTTCTAAAGGCAATTAAGCCACGGGTTACTTCTATTACTGTAATTCCTATTGATCATTTTATTGCCTTGGAAGTGGTATGTACAGCATTGGTCAGAGAACATCTGGTTCGAACTGAGAGAAGCAATTTACTTTATGACAGCTTCTTTTTACAGATCCCATTTTATAGAACCCTAAAATCATATTAAAGCTAAACTCCAGCCAGATATAAAAAAAAAAGCCACTAAATCCTATTCTGTATTCTTTTAAATTATAACATGTAGAAATGAGCCAGGGCTTGGTGCAACCCCAGTTGATCTGAGTTTGCCCATGCCCGCTTAAAACTGTGAACACCACTCTCCTTGACCAATCAGTAGCAGCATTTGCAGCAGGGGCATTCCTCGCCCTTTTGTAACTTATAGAGCAGAGAATGCATCTCTTTGCAAATTACTGGGCTGGGGGGGGGAATGGCAGTCAAAGTTTTGAGTGGGCTGGGTAAAATGGGCTTGCATCAAGTCCAGGCTCATCACTTATTGCATATACTTTACATGCAACCAGCAGAAGCACCCAAATCTCTCTTGATATCAGCCACCCATATTTTCCTGCACAGCAACACTCAGACATGGTTTGGTAGGGTCAGCATTCTAAGTCAAGCACAGCTCTATTGCTGTGTAAAATGCTATCAAAGTTGTGCCCTAATAAGTGTGCTGTTCTTTGATTGTCCAGTCACAGGCTGGGTTGGCCCCAGGCTCATGGTTCACTGTAGTGTAGTCTGAGGAGAGATCCAAGACTTGGCTGTGTTGTATGGATCACAAGAATGATTGAAAAGTATTACAAAACCTGGCTGGTGAAAAATCCCACCTACGTATTTAACTGTGTATTTAGCTGCTTGCCTGGAGTTCAGCTTTGTGTCTGTGCCGATTATTATAAAGATATCAGTTGCTACTTTAAATATCCCATAAATAAAATTATTTTCAGTAAGTTTTACGTGTGTATATGTCACATATGAAGTCTGTTCAAGGAAAATTGCTGACAGGCACACACTAACACCTGGTAAAGATTCTCCTATTTACCTCTTGCTGCTGATGTGCCCCCCTACAGAGACAAAATGCCAGACTGCAATATGTGCAATCATGAAGCATCCGACTGAACAGACAACAGTTTACTACAACTATAGGCTCAAACATACAGACAACCACAACAGAAGCCAGACAAGAAAAGCCTAGACTAGCGTGGTTTACTGTGATATACCTGTTATAGATCCTCACAACTAGATTAGGATTGTCAATTATTCCTGGGTTTTCTGAAAACTCTTGATATGTGATAATGTGCTCCTTGAATTTCTCTGAAAACATGAAAAAAAAAATAATGGATGAGCATTTTTGTAAAGTAAGACAAAAACATCACATTTAAAGCCCAACTCCAGACATGATTAGCTTTGGATAAAGTGGGGTAGAGTTTTTATGTTAGTCACCCCACTGATCTTGATGCAAATGAAGATCACCAGCACTCAAGTACTTGTAAATTCCTGTTTGTATTTATTTTAAAAGGTTAATAGGAAAAGTCGAATAGGAACAATATTTGGGCCTGATGGCTCGATTCTGGAAGCTCTTCATCTCTCCCTACAGGAGGAAGGGGACACCCAAGATGAGACATGCACATGAATTAAGCCAAAAAGAGCACCAGGTAATCATATCAAGAGTCTAAAAAAAAAAAAAAAAACCTTTATTGGCTTCACAAATGGTGACAAGAAGACATGCACAGCCAACACATTTTGGAGGTCAGGAATCCCTCTCCATCAGGGTTTAAAGACAAATTCCAGGAATTACAAAACTAATCCTTGCAGTGGGGCTACTCCCACACTGCAAGGGTTAAGTGCTCATTTTGGTCTAGGAGCTCAAATAAAGATATACTCACCTGATCCTCAGTTGACTACCGCAGGACTGAATATCAGGTGAGTATGTGAGTACTTTTTGTGTGCCCCTAGACCAAAATGGCAAAGGTAAGTTTTATGAAATCCTGGAGTTCTATAAGCTCACTCCACACCAGTGGAGCTCCTGCACACAATCCTATTTCTCAGGCAGGAGTGGAAATCCTTGGTGTGTAAAGATCAGCAGTTGTGCATGTAAAACATCTTGTGCAAATGCTGGACTGCTGGTAAAGATCTTTTGCATATGTTCTTGTCGCTATTTGTGGACACAATAAATGCTTTTTTTAGACTCTTGACACTATTACCTGGCGCTCTTTTTTTTTAGTCTTCATTTATGTGGATTATTTATTGTCCTGACATACCACATATACAGGAGTATAGAGGATGTAGAGGAGTGTAATAACCCATAGAAACCAATCAGAAAGCCTCTCTTTTTCCTGCAGGTATCCAAAATCCGGTTGCTCTCACTCTGCTGTTCTCCATGCTTCTTGTGCTACTTTTACATTTCAAGTACAGACACAAACTTCTATTGATTCTAACAAGTAAATCAACACTTAGCGACGCTGCCCCTTTGCAGCAGGGACAGTCTCAGTGATGGGCTGGGACCTCCATCTTTGCACAGCTGGAGAAGGCTCATTATGTTACTCCTAAGCTTCAGATTAGCTCAGCTGCTGCATACAGCATACATCTAGTAGGCAAAATACTATTATGTCATCTGGTCCCTGTGAGGTGTCCGTTCACTAACAGTCAGCATATGTCTATTAATCAGTAACACCACATACAGGAAAGCAGCTAACAGGAAGCAAGTGAAAGACAAGTTTATGTGTCCCTCTAAAACAGGCTAATAAAATAAACTTTTATACTGGGGTCACTGTTGGGGAAAAGAGACACCTAGTTGCTGTCCCTTGCCAGTACAAGTTACCTTTCGATATCTCTCCGTTTTCTGTTAGGCCCCCACAAAGAGAGAGTGTTACATCTGGCAGGTCCATGGCTGAGTCTGAGAGGCATTCTGTACCACTATCTGCAGCAGCGCTACCCACAGACTGCGGGGACTGAGAGCCTGAGAGTGTGTCCGACTCCATCCACTGCCTTGAACCTGGATCTGATTCACTGTAATACAAGTATAATGTCTCAGTGTTAATAAACATGGTATCATTGTGTCACCTGCTTAAACCAGGAACATTGTCACATCGCCAGCCCCCTACCCCCCTCCTGACCTGAATCGCGGGGTTCTTCTCCCCGCAGGCTCCCGACAGTTTGTTTCATCTAGCGCAGCTATGCGTAGCTCCACCCACACAACCACATCATCCATGCACACATCCTTTGACAGGATCTGTGAATGGAGAAACTACAAGCCCGGTCAGCCACGCAGCAGAGCAACATGTGCTTCTCAATAAAATACAAGTGAACCACACTTATAGTCAATTCATTCTTCCTCCCATCCCTGCACATCAAAGTTCTATAACTTGGACTGGAGAAGGAGTCTGCAGGAACCAGAGCATTACACCTTTATTCCACTGAGAGTGACTGCAATGCTTTACTGGCTCCAACGCAAAAAACAATAAAATACACTTTATATATGAATGTGTGTGCATTTATTAAGATGGATTTTTTCATTGAAATGCTGTAGCCATTGTTGAACACAAGATGATTAAATGTACCAACATTGGTGCCACTACAAGTCGTTTAAAGCAGAACTTCGGGCACATCAAATCTTGACCATTGATGCGGGACTACCCCAGCACTGCAAGGGTTAAGTGCTTGTTTTGTCAAGGGAGCTAAAATAACAGTTATACTCACCGTAACCTCGACCCTGGCTTTCTCTTAGACCGGTCCCTTCTGCCTCTCTCCCTCTCCACTACAGCAGTTTAAGGTCCAGTGAGTAATCACATTCTATACACTGTATAGGACACTGAGGAGGAGACAGGCTGCAGGGAGCGGTGTAGGAGTCAGCCGGGATTGCGATGAGGGGGAGTAGGACTGTTCTATTGTAGCTACCTAGACTAAACAAGCAGTTAACCCTTGCACTGCAGGGTAGCCCTACTGCAAAAGGTTAAGAATTTATTTGCCCGGAGTTCTGCTTTAAAGAATAAGTATAATGAATAAGAATGTTTATTGTATGAACTATCATAGGGAATGGTAAAGGCAATGGCTTTTTGGGCCTCATTCACACTTCTACTTTTAAGACATGATTTTTTTTTTTTATCTGTATTTTGCTGCAAAAGGCATGAAAATGAAAACCATGAATGTATGCATAAAAAAGGTGAAAATTGGGTATTTTCATTTTATAAACAAAGCAGTAGTCACATGACAATTTTACATCCAGATTTGCAGAACAACATTTGGATCAGATAACAGTTTACACACATTTATAATTATAATATTTACCAGTTATACATTATGGTAATGCTATGGACGTAGACTGAGATGGAGTCTATTTAGTAAATATGTGAAACAAATGTGTCTATTATACATCTTTGCTTTGACAGCAAGCTACAGTCTAACTGTTTTGTTCTGTTATTAAATGGCTGGGAAAATGTTTCTGTTGTCAAGCATGTGGCAATGACCAAAACCAGAACTGCAGTAATAACGACACTTGCACTTCATGTATACAGCATGCAAAGAGGGTGGTAAATGGCAAATATTCTGCTAAATAAAAAATTAACCTCCATATGGCATGTGAGAGGTTAATGTAACAGTGTAAGTAACACAAACCATATTTTATAATAACTTGGCAAAGCTTTCTCATACATGCCTGTATACACATGTATATTTATACACAAATACAGTATATAGAACCCCCCTCCCTATCCTTATCTAATGAGACTTGTATTTTGTACAAAACATAACTTTACCTTTTAGGAAAATAAAGTGCTGCCACTTCAGGCTCCAAAACATTCAAGTCATCCAGATAAATATCACCAGGACCCTGATGCTGGCTCCTCTTCCTCACCCCTTTGTGGATTGAAAACAAATGTAAATAAGAGAATGCGTTTATTTCCCACACAAGACAACCTTACAGAGAATTATTTCTTTATGTTCTAAATCTAATGTACAAAAAAAATATGTTATCCAGTAAATAGGAATTTATATTTGTGAATATATTTCATGTTTACCACTTGCGGCCAGAAGGTGAAAAGCACCAAAAAAGCAGCAAGTTTCTTCCACTGGCACCAAGTTAAGTTACATGCTCCATCTTTCTGCCAACAAAGAGCAACCATCGGGCATAGGCCGCTACATGCAGGGTGCTCCCACACAGGCAGGCAGTAATAGGCTCTTGTGTTGGTGGACCCATATTAACATGTCAAAAAAATCATTAAAGAACACAAAACTGAATAAAAGTTGTTCTACTTCTTTGTCTTCCATTTCTTTACTTTTCTTCTCTGGGTTATTCTTATGTTGTTAACCTAAAAAGGTCTAAGTAAATGTCCCATACCTACCCAAACTGACTGGCAAGGTACTTTAATTGGAAATGAGCATTGTTATTGAAATAATTGAATGTACGGATAAGCCTTTTCTGTTATGTAAAATGCCAGAAATGTGAGATTAATATGATACCTATTTGATTGTTGTTGTCATTTATGATTGACCTGTTTCTTAATAAACAATTCTTTTTTTTTTTTTTTTTTTAACAATAATTTTTTCTACTTTCTATTAACAGGGCTAAACCATAATCAAATGAAATAGTCGCAGATCCTAAAGCGCCTTCCTTTTTTTCCTCATTTGCTTTTCAATGGCTCGGGATAAATTCCTTTTACAGTTAAATTAGAAAGAAAGGCAAAAATCACTAACGCATCATTTAAACGTTGCCTCCACGCTGTATTCAATGCATACCTTTTCTACTAAATTGTAAAGTAAATAGCTTTATTTACAGGTCTTCTATAAGGTCATGTGACCACAAAGCTCCCGGTGAGTGTGTCTTTGTACAGGGCTGACATCACAGTGAAGTCCCACAGAGCATCACATCATCTCATCTGTGTTCATGGCATTGACAGCCAGGGGAGAGTTTAAGCCCACCAGCCATACAGAGACAGACACACACACACACACCGGAGGTTTGTGGTCACATGACTGCATAGAAAACCTGCAAAAAAAAAACCCGTAAATTTGCAGTTAAGTAGAAAATGTATGCATTGAACACAGAACAATAGGAAAGTAGGAAAAACTGGTAGGGGTATGAAACAAGGGGCAAACAACAATTTTCCAGAACTAGTCAAGTGTGTTCATCCCTTAATCCTTGCAATATTGTAATGATGCCAGAGAGGATCAGAAACAAACTTAGACTAGATGCTGTATTTAAAAGACCACCCCAAATAATAGGATATGGTTCTCTTTCTTCCTTTGTCTCTTCTCCTTAACCACTCAAGTTTTATTAGAAATAAGGGATAAGACAAATGGTGCATCATAAAGGGATTCTATTATGATAGGTTAAGTGAGGCTGCCAATTCTGAACTCTCCTTTTGAAAATGCTAGTTGCCTGGTTTTCATCCTGATACTTCGACGTCAAAGCTCTCACTGATGCAAAACAAGTATAGGAGAGAAAAGGTTGACAGTGTTTGACATTTATAGCATGCTTGTTCCAGGACTGTGACTGAAACATACTCGTTGAACTCTTTTTTTATGACATTACTTTTTCATGACAGAGTCACTTTAGGACAAGCTACGACTCAGTCCCATGATGGGAAGAGTGCAGGATATCCATGTACTTTAACATAAATGGATTCAACCCCAGTTGATCTTTTCCATTTGTGTCATATTGGTAAGAAAAAGTCCCCAGGCATCAATGAATTTCAGATCTGTCAAATATGTGTTGGTTTAATATCTACCTTTCTTCTTTGTGGGAGAGTCTGTTTTTAATGAGGGCTTCATATCAGACACATTATCAGCAGCCTCCAGGGGAAGGATTTCTTCAGAGGGAGAGGTCGGGGTGGATTCAGCTGTTGTTAACTCGTCTGGATCTATCTGAACACTGATGGAGTGGGGTCGTGGTTCTGGTTTAAGTACAGTGCAAACAGAGTCCTCTGTGGATGAATCCTCAGCCGTGCCTGACAAGGCCTCGGAGCTGATTACCCTAAAGTGCGTATTCTCAGAACGAGTAATCGTGGCTGTCCGCAAGTGTTCTGTTCTCTCTTTTTTTGACGCCTAAAAAACATACACATTTTGTTAGAAATACAATGCATTACTGTCAAAGCAATACATGGCTATGAGTTAATAAGTTCTGCAGTTCTATGGTTTTCTGCATCTCATAGGTGCCTTATCATTCTCCTGAAATCTGAAATAGCAGCATGACCATATAATACAATGGGGGGGGGGTTACAAAAACTGGAGCAGATGTGCATAGTAACCAATCAGCTTCTATCTTTAGCTTGTCCAGTTAAGCTTTAAAAATGAAAGGCAGAAGCTGATTGGTTGCCATGTGCAGCTGCTCCAGATTCTCCCCAATGTTCTGATGTAGAGTAGTAGATTCTAGTCAGTCAAGCAACATTAGAAACAGTTTATAGAATGGCTGTAAAACACTGGGGCCTCTCTAAGTTGAAACAAAGCAATCCAATCAAACACTGGATTTCCATTATATATATTTCAATAAAGCTCTTCAACCTTTTCTGTACCAATGACAAAACCCCAACTACAAAAGAGCAACACATCCAGCATGCTGCCAGCTTAAATCCATGCCTTTGATTTAGAAAGAACTGCTAATTAGATATGCAGGGTGTGCTTCCTACTAATAATACTACACACCAAGATTGATTTGTTGTTCCTCTATCTCAATGAACAGTCTTTGCAAGGCATACTGCAAATTATTTGTTCAGCAAGAATCACTACTTTACTGTCGAATACACAGATAGTCATTTGATAATGTAGACATGGATATGAACCATGAAAATATAAAAGCAGTGAATACATAGAAAGAGGAGATACATTAGAAAGGGGGAGGAGTCCGGTGACATCACGGACATCGACGTCAACGAACGTCGATGTCCGTGACGTCACCGGATCGCCGACGGAAGCAGGCGGAGAGGTGAGTACTTTGATCGATCAAAATAATTTTGATCGATCAAAGAAATTAACGATTAAATCGACGGATTAATCGTTAATTTCCGTGTAAATATATATATTTTCTGTGTATAAACGGTATAACCTGTGATAGTTTAGTCTTAGGTCTCTCAACTATCTCACTAGTCTTAGGCCCCGTTCACACTGAGCGATTTATCGCGCGATTTTTGCAGCGATATTGCTCATATTTCCGCGCGATACCGCTCTATGTAGCTTCTCCAATACATTTCAATGGAGCTGTTCACATCTCATCGCTCAATATCGCTTGTAGCTCGTCGCTGGTAGCTTGTCGCTCCTACATGACCCTTTTTTAGAGTGATATTGCTCCTGATTGCATACAGCCCAATAGGAAAAAGTCGCGCGACACGTCGCTCAATATCGCTAAAAGTCCCGCGATTTTCATGTCGCTCAGTGTGAATGGGGCCTTAAAGTATGTGTGAAGTGAATAAACCTATTAGGTATAATACATTCAATAATGATTTTGCATAGGTTGGCTATAATAAATAAAAAGTGCAAATACCTAACCCCCCCCCCTTTTTTTTGAGGACTGTCACATTACCGCTTAGTCCCTTCTTCCCAACTCTGCAATTCTCGGGCTGTAGGGCAGGGATGACATCTCTTAACACTCCCAGCTGATAGCCGTGTGCTGGCTGTGAATGGTTTGGCAAGGGGGCGCGTCACCAGAAACCTGACGACAGGATTCCAGGCACACTATACATTGGCATGGCATCCTGCATCTACAGAGCAGGAAGAAGAGACGGTAACTGACCAGACTAGGACGGAACTATGTCCATGCCCAGTGTGGTTTTGGGGTAATATACGCTTTAGAGAGAATTAGTGACCAAGAGCAAAACAAATGTTTGGCATTACAGTAGTGTAGGCATGCAAAATATGTAATATGTGTCAACTATTAAATAAAAGGCATAAAATGTCCACAGTCTTTGAAGCTTGTAAAGACAATATGCTGTACCTTGGCAGACTCCGGAAAGCCTCCCCACGTCCATTCCATCTGAAGTTCTGTTCGGAGCATATTCTCTGTGGGTTTAACTTCCAGCTCTGAATCACTCTTTGGGCCCATAGACTGCGAAAAACCACTGAGAACAGAGTAAAGGAATTGTTGTCAATCAATCGAGAATTCAGAGCGCACTTCCCCCAAAGAAATCAATTCTCCATTTTCCGATTAATAGTCTGTTGGTCTAGTGCACTGTTTCAACCTATTTTCTTTAGTAAGCTTGTAAGCAGGCTGCGGGTGGAATGATTTGAGTTTGCACTCTGAATTTAGCTGCATAGCTTTATAAAAAAATCGCATAGAACTGGTAGTCAATTACAAAACAAATGATGGTTCATTTTACATTTTTCAGTAAATGTCAATAGAACCAGCTTTCCAACACCATAAAAAGTGCTCGCTGGCTGATGAGCAGGTTCCTGAACTCTACATTAACGAGTTCTACTCCAATCAATAAAAGTAGAGGTAATAAACTACAGAATTATTTTAAAAAAATTGAAATCTTCATTGCTATATCAAACCAAAATAATGCACTCATTTGGTTTTGCAAAGTCCAGTGACTATGTGCGCAGTCCTGTAATCCAGAGATAACAACTTTCTCTCATCTGTATACCGTAACCTGAAATATGGTTGCTAGCTCTTGCTTACTGTACTTTGCATAGTTGTGGAGCTACCTCATTCAACATGCTTGTGTATGAAGAACAAAACACAACAAAAATGCTAAAAATAGGGAGTCTAAAGAGCTACACTACCTTTAGTTCAGCGAGGCCAGTATATGGCCTTCATTTCTATCTGGTCAAAGGCCTGCAGTGAGTCTGATAGTTTGAAAGTCAATACAGGGCATAAACAGGTTGCCATGCATACAATCTGAGTGTTAACAAATTTGCTTCCATACAGTTACTGACAAATAAAAAAGGGCCATCATGAAGATGGAGGACATGACTTCTACCCTCCGAAGCCAGAAAGTTAACTTCCAAAAAAGCGGTTTGTATTAGGCATCAACAAGAGCATCCACAAGGGCCTCCTCAAGTATGAACACAGGGTAATGGAGTCAGTGACTATCTACATCTCTTACACCTTGCTCTATATTCTGTCTCTATTGGGGACCTGTCCTCCCTACTCCATCCTGCCCCCCCTCACCTTCTTGCTTATCCCAATTTATTAAACACTTCCCGCACGTTGCTGACCCCCTCTATTATATATCAAGTCTAATACACACGTATTAGAAAAGTTAAAAAAATTGGGATGCATTGTCCTATAATACCTGTTGATCTTTAACTAGCACTACATGCAAATCATCTCATTTTCTATGGCGTTTCTGTGCTAAGCTGATTGACCTGGGAGTTTTCTCTTTAGAGCAGTGCCTCCACGTACGTGGACATTGGCGGTATGTCTGTGAATCTCGATCCTTGTTCATGAACGTAACACACATATATACACTGAGTGGCCAGATTACTATGACCACCTCATCAGTACTTCTTTGGGCCACGAGATAACTCCACAAGATGACTTAGTTGGGCCGCCTTGTGACTCCACGAGATGTTGAAAGGTGATGCGAGGAATCTGACACTGCACAGTTGCCCTTCTGTTGTCTTGTACCAGTCTTGCCACTCTCCGTTCTGCCCTAACATTGACTACTCGCTGATGGCCACAATTCGCACATTCAGACCCAGATTTTCGGCTGACAGTCCAGTCTTTAAACACTTTAACAATGAGCCCCACTTGAACATTTAACGATTTCTGCTGTTTTGCTGATACTCGCTCCATGGCTCGCGCCAACAATCATCCTACATTCAAAGGCTGTTAAACCGCGTTATTTACCCATATCTTCAGAACAAAAAATCACTTCTGTCATGGTAAACAACCTGCTTCCCCATTTATAATGGTCTGGCCCTCTAGCAACTTCAGTGCAAAATTATAGTGTAATGTGTTTATATATATATATACAGTGGGGCAAAAAAGTATTTAGTCAGCCACCAATTGTGCAAGTTCTCCCCCTTAAAAAACGCAATCCTTTACAAAACACAGTGAAAAACATTACAGGGAATACTGAATTCGTTGCCCTGTATGCAAAGCAAGTAAAAGGTATGGATCTGCATACCTGTCTTGTGGAGACCAGTCTCCATCGGACAAGGCGTAGTGATCAGGTGAGCGGCAGATAAATTGTTCTCTATAATCCTCTTCCTTGGAGACAGATACTGAAAGTGATCTGTTGAAAAACATTTTATATTACACAAATGTATTAGTGTTACAAACACAATGGCTCACACATGAAATAAATATTAATTAAAAACAAAAATACAAAAGAAAAAAGAAAAAAAACCCATCTTCAGGGACCATTGATGCATACAAGTTTAAACTGTAGCTTTCACACTCACATAGTTCACCAATTTGTAAACCATTAGGCCTCATGTGCAAATTCTGGCAGCAAGAATTTGCAGAATCATGCGGCCACAATCTTAGGTGGTGTGAATAGCTGCTGTGGCACAGCCTATAAAAAAACAAACGATAGACTGGTGGCGGATGGACAGACTGTGGCCAGAGATGATGACCTGCCAGTAACGGCAGGTAATCAGTGTCCAAATACATCCAAACAACCACAAATACTAGCAGCTGCCGTCAGGGATCGTTATTTGCACATACCTGGAATTCTGGCCATAGTAATACGCGGATTGTTGCTACCACAATTTGTAAAAAGTCCTGTTCGAAGGTGTAAATGGGGCAGTAACTCTTCACCACCAAAAGTGAATACAGTGTTTACAGTTCATGCATTCTATTACTTGCTATGTACACTGTTACTGAACTGAAAACTTCTTATAAATGTGGATGATGATTTATTAAACAATGTTGTGAAAGTATATTAGACCTCTCGGTTTTAACTAACAAGTATTCACTTTAAACACCATTTCTTACACTGTATAAAATACTTCCTGTTCACGAATACAAAATGCATGCTCAACTATATAAAAGGGATGAGGATTTCTCATCACTACCAGCATGGAGCAACACCTTGTGGCTGATAAAGTGAACTGCAAATCTTTTCATTATTATATCAGTATGTAAAAACTACACTTCCAATTTGGATGCACAATACAATATAAACACTGTTTGTCTAGTACTGTGTAATAAATATTTTATGTGACAATGTGGAAAACAAGAATGTATATTATTGCCATGCTCAATCCTTTAGTTAGTATGTCTACGCTGCGTTTAGTACTGTGTTCCTAACAAGGTCAACAAAAAACCCCCAGGCATACTAACCCTTTCTTACTAAAAACAACTATTCTTTATATCCCTGTTCGAGAGGTTTCCCCTTCCCGTGCCAATAACCACACAAGGAGTTAGCAAAAATGTGATCAGAAACCAGCAATAAAGACCTGGCAGAGGTTTAAACCTTTCTCTATTCTATCCAACATTTAATAGAATTCTTGGTTATATAGTCAGGTTTAAATCAGTATGCAAACTACTGCTCACAAAACTACTACACCAATTTTATTATTCCAAAAACATTCTGCTGAAAAACTG